TAATATGATGACGGTGGTTGTGCCGTCGCCGACCTCTTCATCTTGTGTCCTACTCAGCTCAATCATGCTCTTGGCTGCTGGGTGTGCGACTTCGATTTCTCGGAGGATAGCGTGGCCGTCGTTGGTCAGGACGATACCGCCCATTGGGTCGAGCAGCATCTTCAGCATAGCCTTGGGACCGAGACATGATCTGATGATGTCGGCGACCGTCTTGGCTGCTGTGATGTTGGATAGTTGAGCTTTGCGGCCAAACTGGCGCTCCCCGCCCGGGGTCTGCGTGTCTGTTGATGTGTTAGTGGGCTGTCGCAGCTTCAGCTGAGCGACTGCACATACTCATGACAACCACTGGCGCCTGCATCTTGACGGTACAGGTCTATAAGCACGGTATACAAGAAAGAGGGGGTCGAAAACAGAGTTGCGTGGGGTATCTTGCGTCTGGTGCCTTGCAGCTCCTCCACTAACTTTTGCTACCAAAAACCGCGTCGCAGCGCCGCCACTATCCCGGCGCGGATTATCTGCGACCGGGCACCAGCCACAGAGAACAGCCACACCACCTGCTTTGCTGACTCATGCGCTCAGCCCGCGATCAACGGCAACTTCCATCAACGACCCCGGTCGGCCCTGCCTTACACAGAGCCTTGGCGCCTACCAAATCCGGCAGGCAGCCCTCGCGTGACGGCCAATACGCGCTAGACTTGCCCTGGAGATCACTCGCCGGGCTATTTTACCCTACATTCTGCCGCCTCTCACCGCGTCGCAGCCAGCCTCTCACGGGACTCGTGCGCAGCTTACAAGACCGCTCTGGTGCCCTCCAAACCTTCCTTCCTTCCTCTCACTTCTTTTGCGCCAAACTTCCGCACGCCGCCTTTCTTCTGTCTATAACTTGGACGCTCCCACACCTCGCTCGGTTTTTCTTCATCTTACCACTCCCATCCATCACCATTACCCATCCCCATCATCCACTATCTCCATCGCGCCTCACCTTCTCGCCATCATCCACCTTCATCTTTGTCGCTCATAGTGACTTTACTATATCGTCGCATGCTCACTGTTCTGTCTTGATCAAGACAGGTCTTTGTATCCTTCACGAACTCTAACATTGCTAAACTACTAAACGTACAGTATGGGTCTTAACTATTACGCCTCGTCGCCAACTGTGGTCCTGCCGCCCCAGCAACCGCAGGACTACTTTCCGCATCACCAGAGCGCCGCTGCACCAATGGGTAATTTCCGCCCCAAATACCCTACTCCGCCTTCGCTCAACTATCTAGCCGCCGTTTCCAATGCCACCGCTGGGCGCAAACGATCCATCGCCGACGTCGACGACCCGGAGGAGAACCTACCCGTCGGATCAATCGTCACTCAATCGCCTTCAAAGCCGAAGCCCGAGCCTGTGTACGGCCCGGGGATGACGCTCATCTACCCTGGAGAGCCTGGCTACACCATGGCAGCCGAGTCGCAATCGGGCACCTGGTACGAAGAGAAGGTCGAGAAAGAAGAGAAGGCAGAAGCTGAAGCTCGCCCTATCGCCGTATCGCGCAAGTCAGTACGCATGAGCCCAACTGCCAATGTCGAAATCACTCCCCTCAACGAGATGGATGCTCAGAAGACCGAAGAGCTCATCGACGACAAAGGCAACACCGTCAACACGCTCATCGCATCTCTCGGAGTAGGCTGGAAGAACGTCATGACCAACCCAAACCTACGCGACGCGGCACGCGCATACTCCCGCGTGATTGAGCGTCATTTCGACTTCACCGACGTCCTGGTGATGTTGGAGAAGGAATCACTCAACGCGTATCTCGTGCGCGCTAAGCAACACGGTGTCCAGGGCTACTGGTTATTCGCGGATAACCTTCAGTGGTGCCAGCTCGTTGGCTGGTCATTAGAGCGAACTGTCAGCAACCTCATGTTCGGCTCAACTCCCCGTGTGGAGGGTGAGCGCATCAATGCTCGCCAGTTGACGCCGTCGCCTGCCTCTACACCCGTTTCCCAGCCAGTCGCGGACGCCCCTATGGCGACTGCAGACACCGACGCGATGGAGATGTGACGCGTCTCAACCCATCTCTTCTCTTCCTTCCTGTTTCCTTACCCCACGAACGGCAAGAAAACACGCCTCAGTTATCATTTCGGCTGCATTGATTTACGGTTTTCGATGTGGGTTTCTTCTTCGGCGATTCGGCGTTGATGGTGGAATCGGATGGCTCACCGGAAGTGACTCTATCTGACATGTACTATATTATTATGATGCTTATGCTGCGATGCTTGATCAAAGACACTCGATCGCATCTGCTAGTACGTGCCGCTAAACTTAACAGGCAAGAACTCAATGAAACTACGATTATCATTTACATCACCTCCACTTCCTGAGAACTGCTGTTATTGAATGCGCATCCGGTGACTTCCAAGTGGCCACTTACCGGTCCTCGGGTCTTCCTTCACGCGCAAGCTGACGTGCTTTACCGATGCCCCGAGGCACGCAATTTCCTTGACTCTATTTTCAGTAGATCTTCGCTCGTTAAACACGATCAAACATGCTGCCGCGGTGACGAAAGAGCATTGAGAAGGCTCTGCCCCGAGCTCTGCCGCACTACCGCTCCTCAGCAACGCGAACATGTCGCGCGCAAGACGCGGCGTCGCGTTTCCCGGACAGCACCTTTTCCCAGTCCATTCATGACTCGTGCAGAAGGTGCGCCTGAGTCGAGACCGCTGTTCTCTCAACGGCTTCGCTGATGGTTATTTTCGCTGTCACACACCCTGATGGTGCTGTTTCACAGCCCTGGAGGCTGCTGGGCGCGCTGCTTCTCGGGAAGACAGCTTCCGTTAGTTCCGAGGTGCGCGACACCCGACGAAAACGAACCTTCCTCGCACCCGCGTCGCGTTGCGTCTACGTCTTGGATACGATGACTATGTTCATTGATCTCACGCTCCTACACGCGTGCGATAGTCGTCCATTCACCGTAGTCTATACATACGGATTGGCGATATAGAACCGAATTAGCATCCAGACTTTGGCCCCCAATGTGGCGTGGGGCGCCTTGCAGGAGGCTCAGAGTAAGCCTCAACCCATCAGGATGTGCGGCCGGTATACTTGGCAAAAACCAGGCGGCACTGCTGATAGGTGGGCTCGTACCAGCGAGGGTGCGATATCTCGCATGGTACTACGCGCTTCTTTGATCTCTTTTACGTTGTCTACTTGGACCGGATCCAACATTTTTGCTCATGGGCTTCGCAATGCCTGATTCAATTTGGCGGTTATTGCCTTCTAGGATACGCTCAACGATACACCCCGAATGGAGATCCCATAGCAATCTCGAGATGCAGGTACCGCTTACAGCCCAAACTGACCGGAATGGAAAACCTCTCGGGAGCTTGCAGCTACCACAAAGCATTCGCGCAAAGGCAGCATCGATACTTGGGTTGCGCAAGCGTGCGGTGGAGAAACATCTAGGGTCTCGCTTCACTGGATGGCGGTTTGGCGTGCTCAACTTCGCGGTTTTGGCTTCAGTGGTCTTTCTCATTAACTTCGTGGCCATGGCATCAGGTCTGGCTGCCACCTCTGGCGCCAAGGGTGTCTTCTTCGATGGCGATTGCGATCACGTTGAAAGGCTGAACACCGGGCTCCATCTTGGCATCAACGTCTTGAGTACGATTCTGTTGGCTGGGAGCAACTATACAATGCAGTGTTTATCTGCACCAACGCGAAGCGAAGTCGATTCTGCCCACAGTCGCAAGCCTAGTGTATACCTCGATGTGGGTGTACCTGGCATACGCAATCTCGGACATATCAGCCGGCGTAGAGCTGTGCTGTGGGCAGCATTGGGACTATCATCCTTGCCGTTGCATCTTTTGTAAGGCATTGACTGATCTTAGCGTTTTAGTTACTTACATCTATCAGTTACAATTCTGCGGTGTTCGGTTCGATATCATCCAACAGTTACTGGGTGTTCTCCGTTGGGCGAGCATTTCTGGACGGAGAAAATTGCACGAATTGCACAGAACAATCCCCGCAGCTCCGTACCAGTTTCATAGGTGGACCAAATAGGCAGACCAGGCTCAGTGCCAGTCCTGGCGAAATCCCATCCGTACTTGAATCCCTCTGGGAGAAAGCACGCGCGGGCAACCTTGAAAAGCTTGAGCCCAACAGATGCATTGACGAATATGCCACTAGCATACAATCCAACCATCGAAATCTGCTTTTAGTGTCTGACGATAGCTTCTTTCCTCCATCAACGGAGAACAAGTTTATCAATGGCTCACACATTTATTGGGGTGCGGGTTTTGATGCATACACTGCGTCGGATTCCGGGTTTGCTAGCAATGCATACCACTGGATATGTTCCGCGTCGCACGACCTACTCAATCCATGTTCAGTCAGGGTACAGGATGTCAAGAAGCAAGAATCTTGGCAGGTTGGATGGCTTTGCGACGATGAAGGGCTTTGCGACCTGTCACGTACGCCAGTGGAGTACTGTCTAAGTGAGCCGGCTCAAACCCACTGCAAGCTCCACTTCGAGCCTACTATTACGACTGTCATTACGATTCTCAATCTCTGTGAGTTCAGATTTCGTTCTCTACGCCTATACAGACGCAGCAGCGTAAGGGACACGCTCGTCGATCAACCGTTCGAGATCGAATCAACTCTAACTCTTCTACAGTCAAAGCATGTCTAATGTTCTATGTTGTATTTTTTGTGCACGACGAGCCGCTTATGACAACGGGTGACGCCGTCGTCTCGTTTCTGGAAAACGAAGACGTTACAACGAAGGACATGTGTTTGTCTACACTAGCAGACTTTCGACACCACAGAGGATATCAGGCGGGACCAAGACAATGGCGGGACGGGCGTTATCACTGGAAAGATGTGACCAGCATCACCCGCAGAATTGTTGTTGTAGCTGTGTAGGTTACGCCGCTAAACCAAATATATCGTTGGTAGTTTGCTTACATTACCGATCAGGTTTTTACTTGCCCTAGCTATAGTCGGTTTCCTACTTAAGATGGGAATCGAACATCTACCCACGGGGGCTACCTTTGATCAATTTTCATTTGGTATGTATGATTTGTTTGTCATGTGAAATTAAGCACGGTGCTGATTGCCTTTAGGCGCTGTGGATCCTCGTACAGCCATCAGTTATATGCCACCGGATTTGATTACCAACGTTGTCATCGCCAACACGCCCCAACTAGCTCTCTCGTTTCTGTACTTCAGCTATAATGCTCTCTTTACCGCCATGCTGATGGGCTACGAATGGGTGTCTTATTCAAGCAAGCGTAAAGGCCTTCGCGTAACTCATCAACCTGCCGGTGCTCAACGGTCGACATACTTCCTCCAGCTACCCTATCGCTTCGGTATACCTCTCATGGTGCTGAGTGGCACATTACACTGGCTGGTTTCGCAAAGCATCTTCCTGATCGCCATCGACTTTTACGACCCATTTGGGAAACCGGGCGTTGAGGATAATGCAGCGGACATGCTTTTCGATTACAAGACTCTGGGCTACTCGCCGCCGGCCATCATATCAGTGATAGTGTTGAGTGGACTAATGGTCATCAGCATAGTTGCTTTCGGGTACACACCATACAAGCGTGGAATGCCAATTGTGGGCAGCTGCAGTATGGCCATCAGCGCAGCGTGTCACCCGACAGAACAGGTTGGCAGTGGTGAGAACATTGCCGAGAAGAAACTGCAGTGGGGCGTTGTCAGTACTGGTACTGATGGACTGGGCCATTGCGCTTTCTCGGCAGAAGATGTGGGAGCAGTCGTTGAAGGCAAGATGTACGGTGGGCATTCGCTATAGATGAAAAGGGCAATGCTTTCCCAGTTGTGAGGCATGTCCATGGCTACGGGAATTTGCGCTGAATTGCTTGCGTACTTAACCAAAGAAGTCATACGTAAGAAGTAGCATCTTCTGACCAGAGCAAGGCGCTGGCAAAATTGGAAGGAACAAGCCTGAAAGGAAATATTTACGTAGGACGAGGCATGCCCATTGGCTGATCCTTCCCCCGCACAGCACAGTACATTCGTGCCGACATAGACGCCTGGAACTGCACCTATCAAGTTATCTCACCAAAGCAACCCAGGTGACTCGCCTCCAAGCATGTGCAAGGTGCTATGCAGGGGTGATCCAACACGTGCAGTGGTCTGGCAATATACGTTCGCCACCACGGCTGCCTGGCGATGATGTCGACAGAGAACAACAACGTTGAATCCATAGAAGAGCCCGATGCGCAGCTCGCCCTTTTCATCACGGCTACACACGAGAGCTTCGCAGTAAATCACAAAGAAGTCAACATGCCATTATGCGATCTTTGCCAGTCGTTGGACTTCCTCGACATCCCTAAGCTACCGCCCGATTACAAAATCCACACTATCACTCGACGCGACTACCCGTGTCTAGTCCAAATCAGTAGCCAACCTCTCAGGGACCTCTGGAAGAACAAGCAAGACCGTCCAAAGGATCAAGAACCTGTCGGACTACCCTTCCACCAATCTATCGAAGACCTCGAAGCCGCCGCTGCCGATGACTGCGCAATCTGCAAGACCGTACAGCACGATGTCGCGCAGTTTCAATCCGACTTCAGTGGGGCGAAGAAGGAACCTGGAATTCGTGCCGAGCGTGGCGGAGGACCGGATTGGAAGATGTGTCTCGTTAGGGGTGTGAATGATACTGGGGGTTTCATGGTGGTATCAGTCGATACGAAGTATTGGTGTCAGGTTTGGGTGATTGCTGCTGTGGGGTTGTGTGCTGATTGTAAGTATCTAAGAGATTTGGTGAAGCTGTTGGTTGCTCCGACTAATGGTGTTGTAGACGGCGATCCGTTGGCCGCTGTCGTTCGAGGTCGCAAGACACTCTCCTCGTCGCCGCATACACTTGCACATGCCCTGAACTGGGTACGCGATTGCGACAAACAACGGACGGATCGGCGCTGTCATGTCGATACGGCACCTCTTCCGGCTCGTGTCTTGGATATACGAGACTCGACGCCGCACAGAGTAGCTCTCTATGCGCCCACCGAAGGAGAAATGGGACGGTATGCAGCACTGAGTTATGTCTGGGGCGAGTCAAGCCCGTTCGCAACCACACGTGCCAATATCGAAGCCAACAAGAGGGGTATCGATACCGACCAGCTCCCAAAGACGTTTCAGGACGCCATCCTCATAGCCAGAGAAATGGGAATCGGCTATCTATGGATCGACTCCCTCTGGTAAGCCAACCCTCCCCATTCTACTCAGAACACCAAACACTAACAACCCCAGTATCTGTCAAGACGACTCAGAAGACTGGTCGCGCGAAACATCGCGCATGGCCTCTGTCTACTCAAACGCCTACATCATGCTCTCCGCAACCGGTTCTCCTTCCTCTACAACTGGGCTGTCCATCTTCTCTCCCAACCGCCCAGCACCCATCTACTCCCCTTTCGAATACACAACCACAACCGGCATCAAAGGAACTCTCCATGCTTTCTCCTCCTCGCGCGAAACAGCCGCAAAGCCCTCCTGGGCCGGAAACAACGCAATGCTAAAGACCGAACCACTCAGCCAACGCGGCTGGGCGTTGCAGGAACGCTGGCTCGCACCGCGTGTGCTACATTTCGGCACGGAGCAGATGTTCTTCGAGTGCTACTGTTCCTTCCTCAGTGAGCAGGGTTTCTACCTGCCAGGGCGAGTGGATACCCTATTCCCAACTACATCCCACATTCCCCCTTCCTCTCCGGATAAACCTATCCCAGACAACCCCACGCTACATTGGCACGCAGTACTAGACGCATACTCCCGCCGTTCTCTAACCAAACCTTCGGATAAACTGCCTGCCCTCTCTGGCCTCGCACGCACGTACGCTTCCCTACTCACTTCTCCAACCACCTACCTCGCGGGACACTGGTCCGCAACCCTACTCCATGACTTAATCTGGCAAGCCGTCGGCACGACAACCGCACCGGCAGTATACCGCGCACCAAGCTGGTCCTGGGCCGCTATCGACGGGCCGTTTGGTCTCTTCAGCCCGAACTCAGGTGTGGGATGGGACAGGGGGGAATGGACGGCTTTAGCCAAGATCCACGCTACGAGTATTACGTTGAAGAGCGCCCACAATCCTTTCGGCGAGGTAACAGACGGGTATATAGACATTAGCGCGCCGTTGGAACGCTTGTACCCTGCGGCCGAACAGAGAGAAGGCGATGGCGATGTTTTTCCGAATCGGCAGAAGGGTGCTGTGGCACAGACGAAGGAGAAGTTGGAGGGGGACATGGAGGCTACGTATACTTGCTTTGACACGCAGAGTCATACGGAGAGGGCGAGGGGGAGGGAGTTGTGGGCCGCGATACTGTGGAAGCATGTGAGGCCTAAGGAGATGGAGAGAGATGCAAGTTATCATGCGATTATTGTGGCGAGAGTGGAGGGGAGAGAAGGGAATGTGTATGAGAGATTGGGTAAAGTTCCTTTTTCAGCGAAGGATTTGGGGGTGTGTGGGTGGATGGATGATGGGGGGTTGGTGGAGAGGTTTACTTTGGTGTGAGTGGACTATCTGGTGCAATCGGTTTTAACTAGGGCTTTTCCTTGCCCGCCGCGCAAATACGATGAGATTTGGCCATGCCTCTCTGATCTCTTCGTCCCACCATTGCTTTGGACAGACACGTTCCAGCATCTCCAGATCGCCTTCTTCGTAGGGTGTGATGTACTCTTCCCAATCTTCCTCTTCAATCTCCTCGCAAGTCCTGGCTAGGTTGTAAAGTGTGAACATGGCAATTAATCTGCCAATGCGCTCAAGAATGTGTTCTTCTGCGGTTTTAGGCTGGTTGCTTGACGTTTCTTGCTCGTAAATATCTCCGTCTTCTTCGAGGGGTCTGATGATTATTTCCCGGGCTAAAGATATTTCAGTCAACGTGGGCGAGCTGTTCACGGCGTAAGGGAGGCTGGCGGGAGAGGGGGCTGTGTCATCGATGTATGCCGCTTGCTCTTCGGGAGTGGAGAAGGCGTGGTAGCGTGGGATTCTGTGTTCTGGGGCTATGCGGTTTCGCAGATTGCGCATGGTGCGTCGAGAGGAGGCAGACATGGAAGCAAGATGTTTGGTACTTCTGGCAGCAGCAAGAAACAGAAGTAGAGGGTGAACGAGTGACAAGCAAAGCGAAAGAAAGATGCGATACTATGATGGTGCTGTTTGAGTATTCAATTATGTGCGATGGCTGTTTGTATGCGCTTCACTATATTTTACTTGACATAGGCCCATCGTCCGTGGCCAAAATGTCACATAGCCAGTCCGCTGCTTTGTCTGCCATAGGTTTAGGAAAAGCGTGCTCTACGCCCTCAAATAACACGTCCTCGAAGGTGATGTCAAGACTTGGGTCTTCTGCTAGTACCTGTTTAAAGATGTTGTAGAACGGCTCACCAGCCGAGTAGGGAACAAGCTTATCTGCCTGTCCACTGAGGTTCAGGATGCGCTTGCCTTGAAGTCTCTCCTTCATCAGGGCCTTCATTCTAGATAGTTGCTCTTGATCGGGTTGGGTGTCGTTTCCTAGAGGATTGAACATGCCCGGTAGCAATAAACCGGCAGGATCATACTGGGCGATGGCGTCCTGCAGCGCTTGTGGGAAGTCGGGGGATCCGAGGAATGCGCTTCCAGGTGGTGTTGTTTCCGTGTATGTCTTTCTCTTGGATAGGCGTGCGCGGTCAGTCAGCAAGCGCGTGTAGTCTGGACAGCCGATGCCGACTACGCCAGCGGTGATGCGGGGGTCACCTAGCAAGCAATGCCATGTCGCGTGTCCACCCAACGAGATTCCAAGGGCAAAGTGTTGTTCGATCTTGGGGCTATCTTTGGCGGTAAAGATGTAGGATTCGAGATGGTTGATGAGCTGGGAGGTGTCGGTCGCGGTGCCGTGGAAGCATCCAAACATGTCTTGGGCATGCGTCTCGTTTCCTTCCCTCCACGCTTGATTATGCAAATCGTCCACCTTGCGGGATCCGTGATTACGTTGGTCGAATGCAGCGGCAATTAAACCTTTGGGGTTCTTGCCAGCCCGGCCGTCTTGTATGCGCTTGTTCCACGTGGAGATGACGCGTCTGGCTATGGGAGCCATAGTCTCTTTTGTCTGCAATCGCGGATTGAGGAGCCATAGGCAGGCGACTGACGATGGGGAAGGAGGGAGTTGGTCGAGGCCATGGACGTCGACGAGGATGCCGGCGATTGTGATGGTGCGGGAGGAGACGGGGAGGTCGGACGAGTTCTGCGTCCCGTGGAGGGGATTCGTAGTCGCTGCCATGTTGGCTAGCGGGGCCTAAGAATAGTGAGGATAGCGATATAGGGTTGGGCGATTAGCAGGTCTGGAGAAAAGAATATGGAGCTATTCGTCTGGTGTATCTTGGAACATGGGCATGCGGAGGGGCAGGGGATCGCCGACCGAGGCTGCCGTCGACGGCAGAACTACATCATCGTGTGACAAGCTTCACAGGCGGCACTGGGCGATGTGCTGGCCATGGCATATGGATGCATGGCGCGATTATACAGTGGTACAGGGGGTCTTTCCATTGTGCACACGTGTGGTGAGTTCGGTATGCTTGTAGTGATTGGGAGTACAGTGCGGGGTGCAGCCACGCCGCAGAGAGACGGCGGCGACATCGTCGAGTCTCTTTCGCAGAGAAGCGGGCGTTGCATGTGAATGCGATGTCACGAACGCGACGAAAGCGATATTTGACGCGTTCTGCAGGGCGCTGCATCGTACATATCTGTGGTGTGGAGCCTCGACGCGGTGCAGGCGGTCAGCGAGACGGAGAGGGCCCCTGACGCCAAAACCTTGGAAGTATTAGCGCAACCAGACAGTTCACGCCCGGGGAAAGCACCTGGGAGATTACTCGAACCGCGCAGGGACCCAGCACGACGTACACTGATCACCTGCGCCGCGTGTCTCTTTCTCTCGCCTATCCGTGAACTAGACCTGTCACTGCGAGTATACTGCCACTCCACCTGGGGCAGCTTTCCATCAATCCATCGTGACGAGTGACGGCAGCAGCACGTTTCCTGGCAACCATGGCTGTATAACGCCCTAGAAGCCCAGCAACCACACCCCCACGCGACCTCGCCGTGAGAGACACCCATCGACACTTCCTGCCTCTTCCGTGTCGTCATCATGGTTGGCACCAGCAAGACCGGGGGCTCGCCCACGACGCGCAGCCCTCGCTCACGATCGCCCGCAGTATCAGGAAGGACAGACGAGTCCGGCCGACTGCTATCGCCGCTTAGCCTGGGACAGCCCAGGAATGAGACGCAAGACATACACAACCCCTCGCCCGCGGACGGCGCCCCCAAGATCATGCGCTCTGCCCCAACCGGCTCGCCCATCTCCAGCAAGGAAGCCGGCGAATTCCCTTTCCATGCCCCAGCGAACGCCAACGGGGGTAGCATCCCCGTGCCCGTCGAAGCCGCTGAAGCCCCTCTCCGCGCCCCGAAGCCCTCCTCGCACATGTCCAATGGGTCCACCAGCTCCTACTACCCGCCCTTTGCGCCCATGTCCCGACACCCTACCGAGGGCGAACTCTCCGACGCACCCCGAGAACGCAAGAGCGTCCAGTTCGCTCGCTCCGCTACATTCACATCCGATCCGCCCGCCGCCAACTCGCGCCAGCAGTCATGGGAGGTCGAGGACGGCGAAGGAAAGGGCAAGGAGCGCAGTGGGCAGAGCTCGTCGCTCATGGGCAAGCTGAGGGCACTGGCGGCGCCCATGCAGGGACACGGCAGGAGCCTGAGTGCATTGGGAGGAAGCTCAGGCCATGAAGGCTCGCCCCATGGCCAGCTTTCGCCCACATCCGAGCACGACGAGCCGCGATTCGAGGGACACGACAGCGAGGCCGATGCTGATGGCGAGTCTAGCGCTGGCGAGGGTGCTTCAAGAAGACCGAGACAAAAGAGGCGGAAGAGCAGCCGCCGTTGGTTCGACGGCGAGGGCGAAGGCACCCAAACGGCCCCTACCACGCCCAAGCAGACAACAGGCGGCTTCTTCTCGCGTGACTCACCCACCATGACGCCTACCTCGACCCGCCCGGGCTTCCTACGCCGCTCCACCATGGATGACATACCCGAGAACGAGCGTCAGGGTTACTCAGAAGACGAGGGTCGCTCGCGCATCGCAAAAGAGAGCGCATGGACACGCGGACTACACAGTGCGAGGGGACTTTCGTATGGAGGTTTGCGAAGACACGACCCCAACGGCGAGGAAGAGGGTCACCAGAATCGTCCTACCGGCAACTTGCGAAGCTTGACTACTTTCAGAGGTGCTGCGGGAGACACACAGCCCTCACCATGGCGGATGCGTAGCGAGCGGACGTCAAGTTTGAGCGCGCAGAAGTGGAAGTCCATCAAGAACAGCCTCAAGCTTCTCGGCAACCGACAAAAGGCCGAACGCCAAATCGACCACGCAAAGTCGGCTGAGCTGATGGCTGAGTTGCTTGCTGGTGCACCCGCAGCCTTGTTCTTTGCCAGTATGTTCCAACGCGATGAGCACGGCCACAGGCGTATTCCCGTCCTTCTCGAGCAGCTCAAGGTTACCATCACCGACACAGACCGCCCCGCAAAGAAGGAGGGCGATCGGCATACTGCTTTGCGCATAGAGCTGGAATACGGCAGTGGCCTGACCAGGATGAAGTGGGTTGTTTACAGGAGTGTTGCCGATTTTGCCAACCTGCATCTCAAGTTCAAAGTTCAGGAGAAGCAGGACGCTTTCCGTAGTCGCCCGGCTAACCGTATGCGAGAACTAAAAGACAAGACATCCAAAGACGGCGAGGCTGAGAAGGAAGAAGAGAAAGAAGATCCACGCACAAAACTCCCACGCTTCCCCAGAAGTGTGTTACCCTATCTCCGAGGTCTTCGAGGCTACGGCATCCTTGATGACGAAGGTGAGGAAGAGGAGGAAGAGGCTGCAGCAGGAGCCAGCGGACCAGACGGCGATGCAAGCGCTACCGAACGCCCCAACAGACCCAAGCGAGGCAAGTCCTCATTCTTAGGTCGCAGACAGTCAAGCGTAAGTGGTTCTCAAGCTCAGGGTGCTGTCGGTGCCCTTGTAGCGAGACAGGGCAGTTTTGCCGGTGCCGCCGGTCAGCCCCTACAGGCGAAACAGAATCATCATGAACGCCAACGGAAGAAGTTGGAACAATATCTGCGAGGTCTCATGACCTACCTCATCTTCCGTCCCGACAGCAACCGCCTGTGCAAGTTCCTCGAGCTGTCTGCTCTGGGTGTCCGCCTAGCGGCTGAGGGCGGCTACCATGGCAAGGAAGGCTACATGATGATCAAATCCTCCAAAGGTGTTGACAACAGGAAAGGCTGGACCAAGCTCGCCATGATGAATCGACACTGGCCCAAGTGGTTCCTAGTGAGACACAGCTATGTTGTTTGTGTAGACTCGCCTGAGGAGATGAACGTCTACGATGTCTTCTTGGTCGATGCCGACTTCCATCTAGATACCAAATCTGCCAGGATACGAGATAAGAAAGCCAGAGATCTTGCAAGCGAAGCAAAAGCGTCTGCGACAGGTCATCACCAGCTCAAGCTCGTTAACGCGGAACGCAAGATGAAGCTACTTGCTCGTAATGAGCGGATGCTGCATCAGTTCGAGGAATCCATCAACTTCATGTCACAGAACACATTGTGGTCTCAACGCCAGCGGTTCGACAGCTTCGCTCCAGTGCGCAAGAAGATCTACGCCCAATGGCTTGTAGACGGTCGCGACTACATGTGGAATGTATCCCGAGCTATCAGTATGGCGCGCGACGTCATCTACATTCACGACTGGTGGCTCAGCCCAGAGCTTTACTTGCGTCGCCCAGCTGCCATCAGTCAGAAGTGGAGACTTGACAGACTTCTCCAACGCAAAGCACAGGAAGGTGTTAAGATCTTTGTGATTATGTATCGCAACATCGGCGCTGCTATTCCCATCGACTCTGAGTATTCCAAGTTTTCTCTGCTAGATCTCCACCCAAACATCTTCGTCCAACGATCGCCAAATCAAATTCGCCAGAACACATTTTTCTGGTCCCATCACG